CAGCATATTATGGGGGTACAGATGTTTAGGTTACGTATGTTAAGACTGATGTTTTTTAAAGTTTGCATATTGCACAAGCTCAAAAAGAAACATTGCATTTCCTGTTGCAGCCTCGTTTTAAGAGGAGCCCCCTAGGTTGCTACCCCTTAGTTCCCTGCTACATAAAAAAAAATCTCAGAGCCGCCTCTAATAAAGGGACCCTGAAAGTTAGGGAGCACAGGAATCTTTTTTATGCATTATTTGGGTGGGAAATCTCAGAGCTGTGCGTGCCGATGTTACACACAGCAAGTGGTCCCCAGGACAAACCGAGCACCGCACGGAAAGTCACAAAATCAAAAGTTTATTCCCCGGCGGGCTCAGAGGGGCCTCGCCACCAAATCCTGAGCCCCGTCTACCCTTCTTTTCCCACTTTTACTAAGTTGTGCTGGTCTAGGGGGTACGCTGTCAGGTGGTTAATGCGGGCCAGGTAACAGGTTAGTTGATGTGCCAGGTAATAGATTTACTGTTATGTAGATGCGCCGGGTAGTCGATTTAGTGTTATGCTGATGTCGCAGGTAACCGATTAGTCGATGGGCCAGGTAATAGCTCAGTATTATGCTGATGGGTGGCTTAAGTGAGGGGTGGGGGTCTCAGGTGGCTGATGGATGTGCCAAGTGACAGATGCGGGTTTTCCTTATCCCCTGCAGGAATTTGCAGCCCTCTTTGCCACAAGGGATAAATGCAACCCCAATAAAGAGAGACACTGGGCCCGAAGACCAGCAGATACGACCTGGTCCCTGCCGACCTCTCAGGTGTGTCATCTCCTGACACTCTACCTGTGGTTCACTGTGCTTCAGCTATGCTAACTCGGTCCCTGTGCTGCAGAGACATCAAACCTGCCTTAGGGTCTTTGCACGTTTTGCTTTACTCGTCTAGGAGTAAAGCAACGGATTGAATGTCTATGTCCCCCCAAATTTCCTATGTGCAAATTTCCTATGTGCTCTGTCCTTTGACTCATAAGTGCCAAAGAGCCTACCTAGCTTGCTATTTTCCTGCCACGTGGGGACACAGTGAGACACAGTCTCAAACTGGGGGGGGAGGGGTCCTCACCGGAACCCAACAAGGCTGGGACCTCTGGAACTGCGAGAAAGAAACTTCTGCTGTTTCTAAGCCAGTCCCCCTTCGTTCCAGCAGCCCCAGGGGAGTGACATCCCCTCCAGCCAATCCGGCTCCTGTGCTCAGCCAGGTCTTGGCTTCAATGTCCCCTTTTTAGAGAACATCTTGCTGCGGACCCCCAAATGAGTCGCCCCCGGTTTGCATGTCTCACACGGGTTCTAGTTCATGCATCACACATTTATTGCAACTGGCATCTCAACCTCTGCCCCTTCCAACCCTGCTCAGGCAGAAAGCCCCAGATCGGGGAGGTGGGGCACACGGGGCACGATAGTCAGGGACTGCTCGCTCCATGCCACTCCTCCTGCCCGGGGGCCCGTGTCGCCTGTTGCATGCCTCCACTGCACGAGCACTTCCCGAACACCTGGGTCCGTGCACAGGTGCACAGGTGTGCACAGGTGAAAACACAGCACCTGTCCTCAGAGGGATGTCAAAGACAAGCAGTGCAAATGGATAGCAGCTCTAAGCTGGGGTTCATGAGCTACAGAGTGGAAGGCCCGGATGATAAGAGTAGTAAGAGGAGACGGGACAGAGCGAGGGGACCCCACTGAAGCACAGAGAATGGGGCTCAGCCTGGTGCATTGAGGAAAATGGCGGGGGAGGGGAAAAAAAAAAAAAAATCCAGAAACGGGCACAGGTGAGGGAGCATTAATGCTGATGAAGCAAGCAGGGGCCAGATGGCTGAGATCCGCTTGATGTGCTGTTTTGAAACTCTAGGAAGTAAAAGAGGCTCTGATTCTCGAGGGATCTTTGCAGAGCGAACACTCGCCCGTCCCTCCGCCGCTGCTCCTTAAGAGCATAAAGCGCTTTCCAAGCCTCAGAGCGCCACGCCCCCCACTCCCTTCTGGGAGGCGGACCCGCGGGACTACAACCCCCACAAGGCACCGCGCCGCCGCGCCGCCTGATTGGCCGAGCCTCCAGCGGCGGCCAATAGCATGCGTTCTTGTTGGCTTGTGCCGGCGGCGCCCGCAGCGTGGCGTCCTGCCTGGTTGCTTTGGAGCCGAGTCCGCTCGCTGGAGGCCATGGGGAGCATGGAGAGCAGCGAGGGCCGCAGGGTTTCGTTCGGAGCGGACGAGGAGGAGCGGGTCCGGGTGCTGCAGGGCATCCGGGTGAGCGGCTCCGCTCGGGCCGGGGCGGGCGCTCGGGGGCGGCGGGAAGAGGCTGCTCGGGGACGCGAACCCGCGGCGGGCCGTCTTCCAGCTCCGCCGCACGGGCTTCTGGGAAGCAGGAAGGGAAAACGGGACAGGCGGGCGGCCTCTAGGATGCGAGGGGGGACCTGGGGACCACATCGCAGCCCCCCGTTGGCTTCCTTTTTGGCGTTTCCGGAATGCGGTCCCCCCCGTCTTGGACACCCGGGTCCCCCAAAGTGCGCGCGTCTTGCTGTGTAGACATGGGATGCTTCCAATCCCGATCGGCTGCAGCGGTCTCTTGCCCCGGGGTTCTCCACGCCCCGCTCTTTTTTGCCGCCGCGACGGTCACTTATCCGCGGTGCAAAGGAGCAGTTTGAGAAGCGTGACTCGGAGAAGGGACCCTGCTCCTGGCTTAAAACCTAGATTCCTGCCGGGCGCGGTGGCTCACGCCTGACATCCCAGCACTCTGGGAGGCCGAGGCGGGAGGATGGCTCGAGGTCAGGAGTTCGAGACTAGCCTGGACAACATAGCGAGACCCCATGTCTACTAAAAATAGAAAGAAATTAGCCGGGCGCGGTGGAGCATGCCTGTAGTCCCAGCTACTCGGGAGGCTGAGGCAGGAGGATCGCTTGAGCCCAGGAGTTGGAGGTTGCTGTGAGCGAGGCTGACGCCACGGCGCTCACTCTAGCCGGGGTAAAATAATGAGATTCTGTCTCAAAAAAAAAAAAAACGAAAAAAACCTGGATTCCGACCGCGCTTGATGGGGAAGCACCTTTACCTGGTTTCTCAAAAGCTGTACCGGTGTCTGGTTGCATCTGGGGCCAGTTCTTCCCTCGCGTCCCACCCAAGGCTCAGACTTTTTCAGGAGCTGCAGGATTTGCTTGCTGTTCCTGGAAGGTCCAGCTTGCTGCATGCAACGGGATCTGTGCGTTTGCTGTTCTCTTGCTCCCAGCTTTCCTTAAATCTGGCTCTTTCTTTCTTTTTTTTGAGACAGAGTCTCACTGTGTTGCCCAGGCTAGAGTGCCGTGGCGTCAGCCTCGCTCACAGCAACCTCCAACTCCTGGGCTCAAGCGATCCTCCTGCCTCAGCCTCCCAAGTAGCTGGGACTACAGGCATGCGCTACCGTGCCCGGCTAATTTCTCTAATATTTTTTAGTTGTCCATTTAATTTCTTTCTATTTTTAGTAGAGACAGGGGTCTCGCTCTGTTGTTCAGGCTGGTCTTGAACTCCTGACCTCGAGCGATCCTCCCTCCTCAGCCTCCCAGAGTGCTGGGATTACAGGTGTGAGTCACCGCACCCAGCTAATTTTTTTTCTATATATATTTTTTAGTTGTCCATTTAATTTCTTTATATTTTTAATAGAGACGGGGTCTCGCTCTTGCTCAGGCTGGTCTCAAACTCCTGACCTCTGGCGATCCTCCTGCCTCGGCCTCCCAGAGTGCTGGGATCACAGGCCTCAGCCACCGCGCCCGGCCTGAGAGTAAAAATCTTGCATGATTGACACCACTATCCGCAGAACCTATAAGAATGATAAAAGCAGTTCCTATTTCTGTGCATTTGCTAAATCGTTCATAGGTATCTTATTTAATTTTCGGCAGCCCTGTGAGAGAGGTAGAATTCTTTTAGGTCATTTTATAGATTTAGGAGAGCTGAGAGGTGAAGGACCTTATCCGAGATCATGTGAGTGACAAGTGGGTGAGTTGGGGTGGAAATAAGCCGACTCCAGGGCTTGTTCCTGTGCTCCACTTCCTCCTACACCCGTGCCTGGCACGTAGTGGGTGCTTTGTAAGTAATCGTAGAGTAATTAAATGCATGAACCCATGGAAACAGACTTCAAGTGTAAATGGAATGCAGTGCTGGGTGTAGGTGAATTAGTTAATTAGGGAGGCCGCTCAGAAAGACTTGAGGAAGTCTGACTTCCAGGCCCAGATATTCGTTAGCTGTGTGTCTTTGGGTGAAACAGACATACAGCCTCAATCACACATTAAAAAAGAAAAAATCGGCGTGTGTGTGTGTATCTTAGGTGCTGCCTGGGATAAAATGAACATATGTGCATTGTGGGAACTTCTCTTAGCCTAGCAGAGTACTTGGCACATTTGGTGCTTGCTAAGTGTTGTACAGCCTTGTTTTTTTTTTTTTGAGACGGAGTCTCGCTCTGTTGCCCGGGCTAGAGTGCCGTGGCGTCAGCCTCGCTCACAGCAACCTCCAACTCCTGGGCTCAAGCGATCCTCCTGCCTCGGCCTCCCAGAGTGCTAGGACTACAGGCATGCGCCACCACGCCCGGCTAATTTTTTCTATATATTTTTAGGTGTCCAGCTCATTTCTTTCTATTTTTAGTAGAGACAGGGTCTCGCTCTTGCTGAGGCTGGTCTCGAACTCCTGACCTCAAGCGATCCTCCCCCCCTCGGCCTCCCAGAGTGCTGGGATCACAGGCGTGAGCCACCGCGCCCGGCCTGTACAGCCTTGTTGACCAGGCTCCTGGCAGGGATTAAATGGGGAAGATGAGGCTTGTATTTGGAGGCTGAGAGGCAGGAACCTGAATTGGAATTTAGAAAGACATTCTTGGCTCTGTTTGGGTGCTGCCCTACCCTTGTGACTTGGTCTCTTGTTTTGGGGAATGTTGGAAAGTTAGCTTGACATCTTCAGAAAAGTTCGGGGGGGGTACCTTTGGAGGTGCCTCCCTTGTAAGTTGACAAAGGAACATCATTTTCGAGTATTATATCAGATGGGTACATTTTATTCCAGTTCTCTTAATAATTCTGCAAAGTATAAATTCTCTTTAAAGAAGTGTGCTCTGGGAATAGTAAGTCACAGGTGTTCTTGTCACTCCTTTTAAGCAGGTACCTTGTCATCATCTCTCTTGGTTTTCAGTTCCTCCGGTCCAGGGCCGGGCGTGGTGGCTCACGCCTGTAATCCTAGCACTCTGGGAGGCCGAGGCGGGAGGATCGCTCGAGGTCACGAGTTCGAGAGCAGCCTGAACAAGAGCGAAACCCCGTCTCTACTAAAAATAGAAAGAAATTACTTGGACAGCTAAAAATACATAGAAAAAATTAGCCGTGCATGGTGGCACATACCTGTAGTCTTAGCACTCTGGGAGGCCGAGACAGGAGGATCGCTCGAGGTCAGGAGTTCGAGACCAGCCTAAGCAAGAGCAAGA